AATGCACTGAGTTGCCGCCATGTGATTGGCTGATTAGAAATTAAGTGTTAACGAGCAGTTGGACAGGTGTACCTAATAAAGTGGCCGGTGAGTGTATATTATTTGAACTCTGACTCTTCTTCATTTCTCTGATAGTTGCTCAAAAATGATCTAAAGAAACATCAGATTCTTCTCTACAGCCTGCGTTGTTATTGTAGCAACACTCCATTTACATGRAGATATTCCCCTTTGACATCACTTCCTGTTACTTCACAAGTGAACATCTCAACAACTCAGCGGTGTGAACATCGTTTTGCATRATATTATCAAAGTTATCTTTCCAAAAACGCATTCAATTTTAAGACATTAAATTGATGTTTCTGGTACTTTGAATATAGCAACACAGCTGTTTTGATAAATAACAGTTTCTCTTCAAACTAGATTTCAGATAAAGATTGAAATTTTGTCCAAAAAAAGCATCATTRTATTATCCTCATAATCACACCATTGTAATCTCCAAATAAGCAGCAAAATAAAGCACAGCTTCGATTGTATGTGTGAGCGAGCAGGCCTGCTGCAGCTGYAGGGGATGTTTTTGAGGCTTAACAGCAGGAGCAGGAAGCAAAATGCAGCAGAATCAATGACGGTGTGAGCTGTATGTGTGAGGACACGAGGGAGGAGTGTTGTCCTGCTGGATTAGCATCCAGAGCCCAGCAACTTCAGATGTTCTGTCAAAAACAGGAGTCCTGCAGCCAAACAAACCTAAAGATCACAACATCGACCCCGAAACCTAAACATTCTAGTGCTGAGATACGGCTGTGCTTTTCTCCGCCGGACAGCAGAGCTCATCAGCCCAGACGACGGGATAAAAATATATAACGTATCAGTCAGAATAAACTTTAATCCCAGATGACATTTCTGAGAGGAATTTTTTTTGTAGTCCAGGTTTAATAACGGAGCGAACGGGGAGGATTAAGTTCTTGGTGGGGTCTTATTACGACKACAAGGACACAACAAAGAGAAAGGTAAATTAAAGGTTAGAATTCATTCATGTGTTGCGGTAACTGACTCAAACATCTCCCTGACCTTTGAAGGATGTGTAAGGATGGAATATATGATGTCATGAAATTAAGTAGCACTGATTTTAAACTGAACTAATTTAAAGGTACTCATTGCAAAGTATTAAATCATAAAACCGTTTTCCTGAACTACATCAAATGAAGAATTTACTCCAGTAGTTTTCCAGATTTACTGATATGAAATGTGGGTCTGCACTCAGTGTWAACAAAGCACTGGAAAACAACATGGAAGCTCGAGTCAAATGACGGATCTTTGTTAGGATGTGTAGCTAAACAAATATGTTGGAATCAGACAAGAAGAGACATTTAGATGGAAATATAAAAAACAAAACAAAAACAAAACAAGAAAGATGTTTGTTAAGAAATAATTTTGTGCCATTAAGACAGAAACGCTCCAGTTGTCTAATGAATTATGAGACAGACGTTTTAGATCTTTTCGCTCAAATTAGTTTCATTTTTTGGAGAATAAATAACTGTGTTTTGGTTCAATCTTTGGTTTGTCTGTTTCAAAAGAAAAC